TCAACTTATTTAGGATTCTGCTATCAAATTATTTCTTATAGCTGATGTGTAGAAAGAGCATAAACTTGCATTTAAGTACTTCCTTACTGGTTTGAAAGTGACCTTTTTTCAGGCGTAACATTCACATAAAAGACAAAGACCACGACTGCAATGATTTTATTTAAAAATCATGTAAGCATCTCATTTAAAGAATAATTTTTTTTTAATAAAAGTAAGATTTGTATGTCGGGTTGCCTTGCTCAGACTTTTCTGAACCCAGCAAAGGCACATTCTTTTCTCAGCTGAGAGATTGTATCAGTACGTTTAGAAACAGCAGGGTACATAATTAGGTATGCCTGCCATCTGCAGAGCCCCCCAGGTGCTAGAGGCATTTGCTTTATTTAATATTACCACAGCATTAATTTTACACCATTAATTTGTGTCATTTGTCTGTTATTTCAAATTCAGATTGCCAAAACTAAAACATTGGACATCATGTCCCAATTCACTTTAGTAAAAGTGTTCTAGTAGAAACTAAATCCTTTTTGAAAATATTTTTATTTTATTTTATGTGTATGCATGTACATAAGTGCATCCGTGTTGTGCCATGACCATGGAGATCAGAAGATGGCATCGGATCTCCTGGAACTGGAGTTATAGATGGCTGTTAGCTGCCATGTGGGTGCTGGAAACCATGTGGGTGTGGGCCCAGGTCCTTTGCAAGGGCAGCCAATGCTCCTTTCTAACAACAGCAGGCGTCAAGGTAGGAAACTTGGTAGACAACAGTACCTTGGTAGAACTTTGGCTTATGGTTATTTTGTATTTGTGGTAAACTGTATTGACTTCCCAGGCAAAGAAGTGAAATATAATTTATCTTAAGGTGATTTAAAGGGTTGTAGATGGCTCAGCAGTTAAGCACTGGCTGTTCTTGAGGAGGACCTGGGTTTGGTTCCCAGCACCCACATGGTGGCTAACAACCATCAATATCTCCAGTTCCTGGGGATCTAATGCCCTCTTCTGGTCTCTGTGGGCATTGAATAACATGAGTGCACTTACATACATGTCAGCAAAACACTCATACACATAAAATAAAAAACAAAATTTAAAAATTTAAAAGGGTGATTTAAGTTGAATGATTAGTCTATTTTAAAGGACAGTAATTAGTAATTAAGAGTTCAGGGATATGAAGGCATAGGACATATTATAAAGACTGTAAAACAAAACACAGGGATTTTGGGAAGTTTCCTATAAGTTGATTTATATCCAATTACACAGGAAAAAGACAGCAGTGCACACACACGTGTGTGCACACACAAACACACACAAACTATCAACTATTTTTTTCAAATACTTTATTTACCATTTTTATATTTTTATGTGTATGCATGTATTGCCTGCATGTAGGTAAGTGCACCCATGTCATGCAATGCCCATGGGGGACAGAAGAGGCTGTCAGAGCCCCTGGAACTGGAATTACAGATAGTTGTTAGCTGCCATGTGGGTGCTGGGATTTGAACCCAGGTCTTCTTTAAGAATGTTCAGTGTTCTTAACTGCTGAGCCATTTCTTCAGCCCAACTATTCACTATTTAAAGAAAACATTAAGTGTTTATTGTTTTGTATCTTTTAGAAAAATATAAATTACTCAAACCATTTTCTTTTCTTTTTTGTTTTTTTTTTCTTGAGACAGGGTCTCCCTGTAGCTCTAGTTGGCCTAAGACTCACTATGTAGACCAGGCTGACATCAGTCTCACAGAGATCCACCTGCCTCTGCCTCCCGATTGCTGGGATTAAAGGCATGTGCCACCATGCCCAGCTGTTCAAACCCTTTCTTGATAGTTTCTTTTCTGCATGGTATTACTATTTTACATATGGTTATATCATTTAATTTTCCAAATCAAAGTAAATCTGTAAGTTTTACTGAATGGAATAAAGTACATCTGGGTTAAGGACATTTAGGGGAGTGGAAGTTAGAATGTTGGGTATTTCTAGCTAGAGTTAAGATATAGAAAGTATAATTTCCAGATAATGAGGAAGATGCACATCTTCCAAAGATAACTGTACTTCTGAACATACACACAGTAAGGGGAAGAGGAGAAAATGTGGCAGAGTGTTCACAAAGAATGATGTTCTAAAAAAATCCAATGTCAAAACAAGTTTAAACTTGCTCCCAAGAGGTGTCTGAGGCAGTCGTCTGAGGCCACACTTTAAAAACTTAGATGAGACAATTCTGAGGTTACCACCTTCCATTTGCCTCTGACAGAATTTCTTTCAGAGTCTACTGTTAGATTTTCAGCACTTGACTGACAGTTAAATGCTTACACATTGTTGCCCTCTAGTTTACACTGAAATGGACAATCTGAACTACTCTCTGGAGGGGAGAAATCACTGGATGAGCACCTGCTCTCCCTGGTTTCACACTCCGATATAGACATTTTCTTGTCACCAATAGTTTGTCCCCTTCTCTCTTGAGGCAATAGAGGCCAACCCAGCCTTACAAATAGTTCCCTTTACAAGGGCAAAGTTAAACATTAATTACTAATAGATAAAGTTCAGGAACATCTTTGTGAAAATCGAGTGCATTCCAAATCTGTCATGAATGTGAAAGTTCACACCAGGGCTGTTGAGGGCAGCTGATGAGTTTTGACATTCCATCGTTGAGGTCACAAAGCCTCCGCTTTCTGCCTCTCTAGACCCCCTTTTCCACTCCCCCTTCACTCTAGGATCTGAAGAGGGGTGTTGGCATTTAGTCAACAAACTACTCGACCACATCTAAAGGGCTTATTGCTGTGGACTTCAAGATTAAGGAAGGGCTGAAGGTGGAAAAAGAATTTTCTTCCTTTTTGTCTTCTCCATAACTCAGTTTGATGAATGAAATCAGCTGACTGGCTGCTTGGTGCTCCTGTAGCTACAGATGGGTCAGTGTGGAGGTCAACACTTTAGTACTGCTGTAATGACCACTGGCAGTGGTGGGGAGCAGCATCAGACATCTGTGGTGGTCTCCAGTTCAAGAGAACAATTGCATTGAACTTTTTGTTGCTGCTGAAGAGTTATTTATTGATTTATTTCTTATGTGCATGTTGGTATGCCTGCATGAGTTTATGTGCGCCAGTGCATGCAGGTGTGCTTGATCAGATGGCATAGGATCTTCTGGAACTGGAGTTACAGGCAATTGTGAGCCACCTGATGGCTGCTGAGAACCAACCCAGGTTCTCTGGAAGAACAGTAAGAGCTCTTAACCTTCTGAGCCATCTCCAGCTTATACATTGAACTTACAGACAATCCAACATCTTGAGCTACGCACAACACGAGCACTATAACACTAATTAAATTTTTTTGTGTCTAAGAACTTTCTTCATCTCATGAAACGTGTTTACAGGAAAGAATAACACAGGAAGCAGATGCCTGGGTTTCTTCTCCCCAAAGCTGATGAGGCCTACGTTCTTTTCCCTTCAAACTGCCCCCATCCTCCTTCCTTTCTTTTGCTGCTCATGGTCACCTTGTTAATGGCAGTTCACAATCTGTTAGCTAAATACAGCGATAGTGGCTCAAGATATAAAAATACAATATTAATTCTCCAGGGATTCTTGAACAAAGTACTACAAACTGGTGACTTAAAACAACAAAAGTTTATTTCTTCACAATTCTCGAGGCTGGGATCTTGAAATCAAGGAAGGCTTATAAAGGCCCTCTCCAGCTGGCAATCCTGGTGCCTCCATCCTCTCATGGCCTTATAAAGGATCTGGTGCCAAGACAGGATCCATCCTAACCCAGTATGACCGTAACTAATTTTTAAAGATTACAATTTAAGATTCCAGGTGGGTATGGATTTGGGGTGGGGGGAGATACTGTTAAGTAAAGACAAATACTCACCTGTTCTTTTGGGGGGGAGCGATTCCACATATTTTCACAAACATCAATTTAATTGCTTGATTTTCCACCATAGAGTACTGATGCTAATATTCCCTATTAAAATCGTTTTAAGTTACAATTTGCAAAAGTAGTTAAGTTCAAGTCTTCTGTGGTATTTCCCAAGTGCTGTAAGCTCATATGTGTAACCATCCCGGTTTCTGGAAAACACTGTTTCTTTGTGGTCGCCCACCACCTCAGGCAGGCTCTTACAATCTTTCTATCCCCTCTTCTTCAAAGATCCCTGAACCAAGGAGGGAGGTGTGTGATACAAATGTCTCATTTAGGGTTGAGTACTCTATAGTGTCTCAGTCTCTGCATGTTGACCAGTTGTGGTCTCTGTGATAAATGCCTTTTACTGCAAGAAGAAGCTTCTCTGATGAGTGTTGAGAGATGCACTTAAACTATGGATAGAGCAATAAGTTATTAGGGGTCATTCCACATAGTATCCACAACACTACGTCCACTTAGTAGACTATTAGTAGCAGGTTCTGTCCTAGTACCCATGACCCACCTAGCCACAGGTTTGTGGCCCCAATCACAGTAGCTGGTTACTCATCTAACGTCTGTGACACTACTGCACTAATGGGCATAGCTTATCAGACCTGTCACTATGTATCAACAACTAAATTCAAAGGACTTATATAAGAAATGTTTTCTTACATTAAAAAAATTAAATAGAAGCATTTCAATGAAATGAACTAGGAATGTATATTTTAATTAGCTACTTGAGACAGATTAATTATCTGCAGGCCAAAGATTTCTGGCTCAGTACTCAAATGATTTGAGCATTTCATGTGCATTAAAATAATTTTCGTTGTGATTTTTCTGTCTGATACATTTTCACTCTTTACAAACCTCAGAATAACTTACAGTATTACTGCATCAGTAGCACCTCAGAAAAATAAACCTAAGCAGGACATTTCTCTTATAATGGCATCTTCCCCCCCCCCAATAAGAAATCTACGAATCTTTAGTGGAAAACCCTGTGGAGGCAAAAACAGTGGTGTTTTCGCAGCGTGCTGTTCAAAGTTCTTCTAATTGCACCGGTGCTGGATGATGATTTACAACAGTGCAGCTTTTCTCCAATAAAAAGAACGAAAAAGAACCTGGGTTTTTGTACACCACTGAAACTTCTTTATTCACTTTAATTCTGCATTTACACAAGGTGCTGTATCTGTATACTACTTCTGTTACAAATATAGACAATATTTAAAATGACTTTATATATTCTAATGTAGGAGTTTCACGCTCTAAAATGGGATTGAACACACGATAACTCCTCACCAGTTGTCTCAATAAGCAGCTCCATCTGTTTCCCTTAGTCTTAAACTATTGTATTGTAAGATGTTAATAACAAGGCAAAGAAATGAAGTTACGTTACCCTTAATTTTTCTGTCAGCTTACTAACAGCACACAACCAAAATAATTACTAACACATTTCTTTTCTCTTCTGTCATTAAGATTAAAACTAAATGAAAAATAATAGTACAGTATATTAACATATTTTCAGTGATGTATCAGTTGTTACCTTCGGCCATCTAAGAGTCTGAGATCGTCCTGTGTCCTCCGTGTAGCATGAAGAGCCACAGCCAACACGGAGCAAACGGATCACCAGTTTACTTGTAACAACATGAAAATCTATCAGGCCAAAAAATGAAAAGTAACACCAACATATGCATCAAATGGGATTTTTTAGAAAGCTTAGGAACACTGCTAAACAATTTTAGCTGGAAAATGTATCTTACAGTTAGAGGGATGCAATTTCTTACAATGCTCACAATTAAAACATACTAAGAGTATTTAAGATTTCCATGAACACTTTTAAAGTATGGGGTAGGAGGAGGAAATGGACAGCAGATTGAGGAACTTTTAAAAAACTCACCCAGTCGATCTTTACTGCCTATTTTTACTTTTTAATCCTCATTTTCTTAAGCCATATAGTCACTAGCCAGATGAGCATATAATAATTTTTGTCCATATGATTATAAAACATTACATAGCCTCAAAATAAAAAAAAATGAGATTTACATATGCAAATATTCTTTCTCTTTGGGTTTAGATTCATAAAATGTGAAGGGAAAGGAAAAATGATGCTAAGTTGTCAGTAAGAAAATCATTTAAACATTACCTTTCCCCCCACAGTTTCCTTCAATGAACACAACACAGGAAGGCATTCACAAGGCCAGTTTCAGTCTCCTTACAGGTGGGTGGTGAGCAAGCATGGGGATGGGTCCTGTTCAGGAGATAACCATCAGCGTGACTGTGCCTTTTGTCCGCTTAAGGATGGCAACGGCTTCTTCATGGGTTACCCCTTCTAGGCTCTGCCCATTGACAGCAATGATCTGATCACCCCTCTTCAGACGTCCATCTTCTGAGGCTGCTCCCTGCAATTATAAAGCAGGCTTGCTTACTTAAAACACAGCCTCCAACTACAGATAGAAAGAGTACTCAGTAAGAATGCAAATCCTCGGTGTGTACACACATCCCTCTCCATGCCATTAGGCGCTGATGAACACACACCAAAGAGGCCTTTCTCCAAAATGGTTTTAACACTGAGATTCCAATTTGGTAGAGAATTTAGCAGTCAATAGCTTAGTTGGATGGGTTTTTTTTTTTTGGCTGTTTAGTACAGCAGTTGGTGGAAACTAAAATTAATAAAGACTATTTGGGAATTTGCCTAAGAGAATGATTTCATAGAATCTGGAATTTTCTATCCTGTAAAGCAGACCTACAGAAAAAAGAAAAAAGATTAGGGAGGAACAAAAGCAGTTTCACCAGACAAAAGTATGAAGTACAAAGTTTTACAGCTACCTGCGGGTTATCAGAGCAGGATAAGGTACAAATGAGGATTTAAAAGCCATTCCTGGACTGGGGTGTAGCTCTATGCAGTGCTTGTCCAGCATGGATAAGGCCCTGAATTCCAGCCTCAGCACCCCTCCCCCACAAAGCTCTCCAATCATTGCTAATTGTAATTCTTTCTTTAGCTTTAAAAAGAAAGACTGTGCAAGCTGTCTTGGTTCTTACTTCTCAAGGGTAGAAAGAGTCTTCCTGTTTCTATAGGCCCTAAATAATTATGATTAAACACAGACATTTCTATTTTAAAAAGAACTCCATCTTCAGGCATGCATATAGAAGATAATTATGCAATTAAATATGAGATTAAAAATATGGAAAGTTAATGAGGAACGTATAATGATGAAATTCTTTAAATATGTTCTAACTAGCATGCCTTAAATAAATTGTTCTGAGGAGGATGCAAAGGACTACATGATGGTTCTATTCATTGGCGAATGCTGTTTGTATTTTTGGAAATACCAATAACTTTTCAAAAAATCTCATAAATTAAGCCTAAAGCTAGCCTGCTGCAAGCTCAGTACTTTAAACTGGTTGAAAATAGCAATTGTTTTCTAAAATAATACACCAAACTTCTGTAAAATAAAGAACCATAGCACTTAAAGGACTTGAATCAAATCTTTAAACAGGTATGATATACATTCTGCCCCTTCACATGATAAAACTGAGATTTTTGGTTTTCTCTTGCAGGTGGTATTGTCCAATTTTGTACTCCTTGAAAAATTCTCAACAACAGAATGCCAATCGTTATATATGCTGACATTATTCTTAATGACGTCATCAATATTATAGTATCTTTATTTTTATTTACTTATTTATTCATTTATTTATTTTTGTCTTTTTGAGACAGGGTCTCCCTGCAGCCCCAGCTGGCCTGGAACTTGCTATGTTGATCAGGCTGGCCTCCATCTCACAGACACCCTCCTTCCTCTGCTTTCTGAGTGCTGGGATTAAAGGTGTGTACTACCATGCCCAGCCACTCTCATGATTTTAACTACCTCTTACATGCTCTTACTACTCAGATCTGTACCTACTTATGACCTGTCTTGAATGGATTCTTTTGGTTGTCTTGCTGGTACTAGTACTTGGCATTAAAAATGCTTTGCTCTTAGTGTTCTTCCTTGTGTTCATTATATGGTTCTATCATCCAGTTACCCAAACCAGAAAACATGGTGACAGCCCAGATTTCACCCTCTCCTTTGCCCCTAGAATTCAATTAATCACCAAGTTGTGCTAATGCAACCTCCTAAACATTTCTTAAATCTTTTCCTCATCTCCATCCCTACTTCAAGTT